ATAATCCACCGAAATGATGAATAATCAATTTTCTTCTTACAAGGAAATAAATAAATAAATATATAAAAAAAAATAAAACCATCGGTTCGTATTGAATAAAATTGTTCGTTCAATTCCTTTTTTTTTTCTTAAAAGGAAAATGTGTAGTAGTAGTATGTTTAATCAGTAATAGTAGCTTGTTGGAAATATTGAAGAGAGATGCGGAAAAACCTTCTTTTTCCGGAATCCATTTTTCCATTTCTGCCTTTTTCGCGTCACGTATAAAAGCGCGTCCTGGTAAAGTCGATAGACGACACGCAGGAACCTAAGAAGAAGAAGAAGAAGACGACGAGGAAAACCCGAAACGATGAGAAAGAATCCTGGAAAAGGAGCGCGAAAAAGAGACTACAATGCCTTCCTTCCTTCCATCTTTCCTTCCTTCTTTCATTTTCTTTATCTTTCTTATTTCTATTTCACCATCCACTTCCTTTTATCTTACATTCTTTTAAAACTTCCTTTTCTCTACTTCTCCTTCCACCTTATCCCCTCTCCTCTTCCCCACCCATCTCTCACCCTACCCCCTCTTCCCTGCCACCTCTTACTACTACTACTACTACTACTACTACTGCTGCTGCTAGACAACCCCCCTCTTCACTTCCCTGCCCCTCCCCCATCATTCATCCACCCACTAACGTGACACCGTTTCACCGTATATATTCGATTTCGAATTTTCTAAGAAGAAAAGACATAACAAAAAAGAATGCTGGCAAGCAAAGTTTCTTGAAAATTTCACTATTTTTCAAAGTTACTTAAGTTATGCCTACCTCTCTCTTTCTCTCTCTCTCTCTTTCTCTCTTTCTCTCTCTCTTCTTTTGCCCCTATCAATTTGTTATTCACAATTTAAAATACATATTACAATTTATTTTTTTATAATTTTCTACAGTATCGGTAAAGTCTGAAACAATTCCCAATATGCATAGCAGGTTAATTTGTACATGTTTCATAATAAAATATTGTTTGCTGCTTTCCATCTGGTATTTTTCTGTCAGAATAGATAATACAATCCCGTTGTCTTTCTTTATTTATCTTTCTAATTAGAAAACTATAGGAAAACACGTGTTTCTTACAAAATTGCGATGGAACAAGTTCATTCTTCGTAATCGCTAATAAACTTTCATGTCCCCTCAGTGGGGACAACCGAGTGCAAAGAGTGAGAAAGAGAGAGATAATCAATGAATGAAAGAATGAAAGAATGAATGAATGAATGAATGAATAAATGAATGAGTAAAAAAAAGAAGATAAAATAAAATCTCCGTCTATTGGATTACCATCAGGTCCTCGCCACCACCCCCCACTCATCCCCCCACCACCGCCATCACATCCCCATACTCATCCATTAAATAGTCCGCGTTCCACCGCGAAAAATTCTTTGCACTCGTTATCGAGCGATGCCGAGAGCTCGCAAACCAGAGTCGGCCCATAAAACGGTTATTAGGAAAGTTTAAAAGTCGAGAGGGAGAGAGAGAGAGGGAACGGGAGAGAGAAAGAGAGAGAGAGAGAGAGAGAAGCACCTGTTGAACACAAGAGCCGCCAATGGCAATATTTGAAAAGTTATTCACACCTATTCATTGTCGTCATTATCATCATCATTATAATCATCATCGTCATCCTTGGCATTGTGGTCATCACCATTATCGTCATCCTTGTTTGTCATGAACATCATCGTCGTTCATTTTGTACTTGTTGTGTTGTCATCGTTGTTATCAACGTCATTATTCAACGTTTATCGTTAAAAACGAAAAATAATAGACGACTGTATATATATATATATATATATACGGGCGCGTATAAACGTATAAAGACATATAACAAAAAAAAAAAAAGAAAAACAAAACATAAAAATTATTTAACGATAAAAAACAAAGAAAAATAATTATAAAAATAATTATACAATATAAATATATAATATAAATAAATAATTATAAAAATAATTATATACAATATGAATATATAATATAAATAAATATATTTTATATATTATATAATATAATATATAAAAAAAAAAAAAATATATATATATATAACAATAATAAATTTATCGAGTATAAATGTAGTTTATATAGTTATAATAGAGAATAATCTAATTAAAATCGATGTCTAATCTCATCTCATCTCATCTCATTAACATTCTCTTTTCTAAAAATAATTTGTCGACATTCTATTTTCATCTAGGGTCAAGATTTTCAAGAAAGAAAGAAAGAAAGAAAGAAAGAAAGGGAATATAAGGAGTGCGAAGTAAAAAACAACGTAAAAAAAAAAGGATGTTTACGAGCAATACTATCGGACTAACGGGATCCTTTACCATCACCCTAACGGTCGTATGGGGTTTCTTCGTAGCCCCTTAAAACAGCTACAGCTACAGCTGCTACTGCTGCTACTGCTGCTGTTAGTACTTTTACGTTTGTCGACGAATTTGGGATTGAAATCGGTAGACCCTAAGGAGCCCTGCTTGCCTGCCTGCCTGCCTGCCTACCAACCAATTCCATGTGTTTCCACTTTGGTTACGGTGAAATGTCGACAGAGAAAGAGGGATAATATAAATGAAGAGAGAGTAAGAAGGAAAAAGTAAGAGAAAGAGAAGAAGAAGAAGAAAGAGAAGAAGAAGCACGTGGGTTCTTTTAACATACGATTAAAACCGTGAACTCGACGAGTTTGCTTTCATTAAAACGTTTCCCCCTCCCCTTGTCCCTGCCCCT